GGAAAGAGAACGGGGAAGGAGCGTGAAACGGAAAGATCAAGCGAGAACAGCGAGAACAAGTTTGAAAACTAGCACTGCCAGTCCGTTGAACATCTGCGATTCCTAAAGTGCGTCCTTCCAAACACGGAATGTTAAATAGCCTTCGCGCTTGATCAACTAACGGAGCCTTCTCGAATGATCTCTCTTGACCTGTCTCTCTTTCTCCTCTCTTCTCTCGTTTCTCTTGTTTCACTCTCTTTCTCTCGCTCTCTCTTTCTCCTCGAGGAGGAGAAAGGTCATCGGTCTCAAATTCATCTTTTGTCCACGCCTTAGGCACACCAGTAGTAATGCGCTACGACATATTTTCCGTTGGCTCAAACTCGTTTTAAATTACCATAAGTAGTTTGATATCTCTTGCTCTGATACACTTGATTCTTTTTCATAATCGGTCGAATTTCTCAATGTCAAGTTAACTACTCGTTACATCCTGTCGTGTTCGATTCGACCACCGGCCCCCGGCTCTTTCGATCCGTGCATTTCGCGGACAGGAATCCGTTTCTTCTTTTAATAACCTTCGCGACATTTTTAATTATTCGTTATGTTCATTAGGGACTCGACAGTCGTTCATGTCACACGGCGATTTCCATTCGTTAACGCATTACGTGATGTAACGTAATTTACATCTCGCGATAATCAGCAAAGCCAAAGAACAGAATTTTAACCAGCAATTTACATTAAAAGTCACTTTGCAACATATTATATGAAAAATTTATTTCCATGAATTTCAAAATAAAAAATCACGATTCTTTTCTTCGCGAATATTATTAGTTCTTTTTAAAAATTGCCACATTAGGAATAATCGATTTTTCCGTTAACGAAGGTTAATTGTCATTTCTCAAAATTTGAAAATCCAAAATTCGAAAGCAAAAATTTTCATTCGTTCGAATGGACGAGAATAATTCTCGTGTAAACATGGCGTTGTATAACAATGTTTTTGGCGCGTTTTTGCGAAAGACACCAGAGGTCGTTCATCACGACGTTCGTTTTTCCAACGTTATCCGCAGGGATTACGTAGGAAGAGTATTTCATAACGAGACCATTTACATTGTTCCGCTTACATAGCGCTTTTAATAAATGATGATAAGGAAAACGACAGCACATTTGATATAGCCGACTATTTGCATTTTTCATGTTCATCTTTTTCGTTTTTCTCCGGCTGTCCCACTAGAGGAAAGGTATACGTTCACTTCCTAACCACAAAATTACGCGTATTAACTCTTTCCGCGGAACGCGCTCGAAACTTTTCACTAGAAACCAACCAGTTGCTCCGTCAACGAACGAGCATCAATTACGAGGTCCGTTCTTTTTAGAACACAGTAACCGGTAATTACGAGAAATTCGATCTATAATCTACGTACGATGAAAACGAAAATCATCCCGTAATTTTATACCGTATCGCGAAATATAAATTTTAATCGTAAATTTCTAAACATCGCGACGAATTGTATAGTAGGTATACCGCATACGTCATAAAAACTACCCTGGTCAGTGGTACCAACTGCTGCATATTTTCATAGCAGCGAATGTAACGATATACGTTATAAAACACGCTACGAACGAATCAATAAAAGGTTTTTAATATGTCTAACGTGATTTTTTCTCCCCGGTTTATTTTCGATTCCATTATCGCGGCACGCATTAAACATCGTACGATACGGTCTCGCCTGGCATGGGAAGAGTGTAGCCAACCTTTCTTCTTTTCTGCTTTAATTCCGTGATCGCGGGAAACAATTGGACGTTCAGAGAGCAGGAAAAGGTCGAATATACAACTCACGTGTCGAGGGTCTATTTGTTTTATCAAGCCTGCAGCGGCAACCTGCTCCCGCATTATTTTGACAATAACGCCGAGCAACCACGCGAACCAGACACAACTATATAGGTAATTTATGCAAAATGCAAGCCGCGCACTCGCCTACGGGCGTGCTCCGTGAGCGGTACCCATTACATTATAACAAAACAATGTTTAACGACTGTAATTGACCGTAACTACGGCTCGAATTCGATAAAAATGAAAAAAAAAATCGAATTACCCGAGACGCATCAATTTGCATGTATCACGCCTCTCATTCCACCGTTCGATCTTCTACGTCTCTCTGTATGCATTATTTGTTAAATAAATTAATCGAAACTCGTGGGAATTGTCACGTTGGCGGAAAACTAACAATTTATTATTTTTCCCAAGCTCGTTAATTAAATCTCATTTATCATGGCCAATCATCGCCCACCATTCACCGGCGATATAACTTTCATTGGTCCTATGAAAAATTCTGATTGGTCGAAACGCATTCGTCGCCGTGTTCGAGTGTTCGATTGGTAAATCGCCAAATCGACGACGTATTCGGTCGATAATAGTCGCTTCCCGCGTTTTTTGCGATTCACGTGACCCGTTCGATCGAGAAATTTAGTGTGCACGATGCGCACGAATACTGCGCACTGCATAAATCCGTTACCGAACGGTTTCGCTGTCAGTTTCGATTCGACGACGACAATCGAACGCGTTAATTTCCCATGGTCGAATGCCTTTTATAATCCGGCTTCCATATCGAGCCACGAAAGTTAGTGTTCGCTTTCCGCCTTCCGGTTGCCTTTCAAACTACGAGAGCTTGGTTTCCGATTTTACGACGTTACACAGCCGCACATTTTATCTCTGGTCATTGAACCTCCACTACACCAGAGAACACAGTGAGTCTATGCACGAAGCTGTTTTCTTTTCCTCTCTTTTTACGTGCCGCTGCACGACGATTCACCGAATTCGGAATATTTTTACGTCTGCGCGTTACGGAACGTTCGTATACTTGGCGATCTAACCTCAACGCCTGAGAATATTCGCTCTCTTCTTACGCTGGAAATAACGTTGGAAATGTTATCGGTTTGGAATAGAGAAGGTAGAATTATACAAGGTACGTTTTCAATCGTTGATCTGCACGGTTTTTACGATTCTTCTTCGCGTTTCCTATCGTTCGATTTTCCTCGTAGTAACGAGTCGGGATATCGATATATCGAGGAATCGAAATCAGTTCGTAAACGTTCTTTCTTTACAGGCTGGCGCGTATATCTGGTTACGGGAATTCAGCCATTGTTACCAAACAATGGAATATTCCGGCGGGTAAGAAAAAGCAGCCATGTTCGTTATGCCGAATGTATACATACGTAGGATAGAGGAACACGGCAGAATCGAATCCGCCGTTCAGTTCCGCGGCCAGGCACGGTACGTGACAGATATCTCAAGAGACGTGTTCAAATACCAGCGGGGATGATTCGCGAGAGCGTGAATATAAGAAAAGGTAGTTGAGATTTTCGTTCGGAGGTCTGGTTAACCCGAGCCCGTTGAAATTCGATCGTATCCCGCGGAAGGAAATTTTTGGCGGGAGCGCTGCGATCGTTCCAGCTTCTCGGACATCCAACGATCTCCGATTCTCTCTCGGTGTCTCGTGAAATTAATTTCCACGGGAAAATCCGAGCTGTAGGGTCTGGGAATTCGATAGCTCTGCTCTCGTTTCTCCTTCCACCCACGGAAGAGTGAAACGTCGCGTATATTGTTCGCATGGTCTAATCGACTTACGTAGTCTAATGGTTTCGAGTGATTACCGTGCTTCTTGACCCGCACCGGAAACGGTCGAGCGCCATCTTAACGATTATTAATGTCCCTTAATGGCGCTTAGTCGGCTCGGTAGCTAGATGGCGCCGATTAACTCTGCTAATTGTCTTTACCGTTCGACTCGAGCCGTTATCGTTTAATAAACTTCTGCGTATCCGCGGGGTCGCTGAAAGCAAGGATCAGATAAAATTTCAGAGCTGGGATTTTTCAGGATAAGCACACTGTTACCCGTGGTACCGTTCCCGTGTAATTTATTCCGCGGACCGTTGTACCGAGACACTTCCGTTAATGATACACGACTATGATTTACGAGCTGTTATTTGGCATTCCGTCCCAGTGATACGGTTCGGAAGTAAACACGTATCCTTGTGACTCACGTTCCCATTTAACCGCCGTACATGCCAAGGACAGCGCGGACTCGCGGCACGTCCTTGCCAATTTTGGAATGCC